AATTATTATTATTATATATATATATATATATATATATATATATATATATATATATATATATATATATATATATATATATATATATACTATATATAATGTACGGAGGTATCATGACGGACAGTTCCAGGTTTATGCCTGCCTATTGCCTCGCACAAGGAACTGAGTCACATCATTCGGCAAGTTACACCGCGTGACGATATGTACATATGAAAATAATTGACTAGAGTTGGACTGTTAGAAAGACATGCAGAAAGAATATATATATAATCAAATAAATCTCGGATAATCAAATCAATCTCGAAGGAAAAAAAGGTTTTAAAAAAGAAAGAGCTAGAAACATGAAAGTCTGTCGAAAAAATCGCACAGATACAGGTTCAAAGCCCAAAGAAAAAACCCCGACACGAGTAAACAACTACCTAAAAAGAGCTCAATACAACCGTAGAGCAGACCTCTAGGTGTGACTATATATATATATATATATATATATATATATATATATATATATATATATATATATATATATAAATTATATCACAGTAGTTTTTAGAGCAAAAAAAAAATGAGATAGAAGCTTCTCGGAAACAGACAATCATAGCTCTCCATATATATTTTTTTTTCATTATGTGCATTTACTTGGTTCTTGAAAAAGATTAAATGATTTTCTTTTGGCTTCTCACCAGGATACCATTTACTACCAGGCTGTCTCTAATCTGCTATTTAACCATTAGCAAAAACGCGAGAAGACGTTTTCATGAATTTGCTCAGAAAATAGTGCGAACGGAATGAAACAGACTAGGCCTGAAGTTATACTTGGACTGCAGATTCCACTCCGATAATAGAACTGCTACCTGCACATTCCTAAATGGCACGGATACATATATTACTATACGATCTATGAAAGAAGACAGGGATACCATTGTTGCTGATTGACAGACAAACACGTTAATACTATGACAAATAAATTACTCGGAAGGAATAAAAAAGGAAATCTAATTTTGTATATTTTTTATTTTTTGCCTAACTTATGTGATTGACCGTATAAAACGCTAACGCGTGAATCTAGCTTCGAGATATTTTCAGTCAGAATAATTTCAGAATATAATTATCATGAAAGGATAATTACCATACCAACATTTTCTACACACATTCTCGATCACACACACACACACACACACACACACACACACACACACACACACACACACACACACATTCTTTTCTTATATCGAGTTCCTTATCGCAATGATCCGTAGCATCTTTGACGTGAAACGGATGATTTGCTCATTGGCAAAATTGACCTTCTGCATAATATTGCAGGTACATTGCACACAAGACTGTAGCATTTCATTTTGATTTCAATAGATATAATTGAAGGGAATAAGGGTCTTGATAAAGAAAGATGGAAAGAGACGGATGAATATATTGAAGAAAATGACTTTTTAAAGGAAGAAAATAACTTGAATAATGGAATGTAAAAGCATGACATCTACAGAGAAATTTAAAAATAAACAAATGAAGGTGAAAAGTAAACCGGATGGCTTGTTAGATTGTAAGTGAGTGGGAGGCTGCATGATCTTAAGCATAAGAAAGAAAGAAATTACGAGAATAGAAACTAATGAACAAACTGAAAGGTAAGGAAAGGAAAGGATAGAAAGTAACATTCGTAAATTTTGGTATGGACAAAAAAGATTAGGATGAAGATGAAAATTCCAACAAAAAAAGATAAAATAAAAAAGAGTGAACACCATTCCATAAAATTGAAGGGAATAACTTTTTACATTAACAGCAATATTGAATGATAAAGTATATGACAAGAGAAAAACCACTGACGGGGACAATATTACCAAAATTAGAAAATGCAGACGAATAAGCAGGAAGAGGAGACAGAAAAGAATTAGATGAAAATGAGTAGCAGGAAAAAGAACAGGTAATATCAAAGCTACATGAAAGAGAAGATCGAAGAAATGGCTGCAAATAGAAAGTATCTAAAGACGAGTGGAGAGGAAAAAGAGAAAGACGAATTTGAAGAAGAGATAAAAAAGAACAAATTCAAAAAGACAAAGCAGAATCACTCGAAAAAAGAATAAGAAAAATATGAAATGATGAATGAGAATGAAAAGAAAATGGAAAATAAAGGCAAGAAATTTAAAAATATTAAATAAAAAATGAACAAATATGATGAGAGTGAAAAGAGGGCAAAACAAATTTGATATTGAGAAAAGTAAAGAAATAGATATGGAAAATGTGTATTAAATGAGACGACTGCTTGCTCTATTCTGATCATGACCACAAGGGAGCTAATGACAAGGCAAAAGTGAAATAATTGATGCTTACAAAAATAAAAAGCCGCTAGAAAGAATCGTAATGAAAGCAAAATAATTGAAAAAAAAAAGTAAAGACAGGTCAACGCAGATGTAACCGAGTTTTGCTTTACAGGGCGATACTAAGAAGGCTGAATTCTAAAGAAAAAAATCTATTTAAAAAGTTCTGTTGAGATGACAATCTATTATTAATATATTCAAATGTTATAACTACATTTTGAAAATAACCTTTAGTTCATTTTTTTACGTACCATATGTAGTTAGCTGAAAATCGAATGTAAGGATCGTAGATAATTACGACACCGACCATAACTATGCTGAACAACCATTTTCAAGTTCAGAGTTTAAATGATACTAATATTTAATAGAATGTACTCAAAATAATGGGGAACCGGTCATCCAAAGTTTTCACACAAGAGCTGGTCTTGAATTTAAAATCCTCACCATGGTAAGTACTTCTCATGATATAAGTTTACATTATTTTCTTGAAATTTAATCATCAATGAAAATTTTTCTATTCACTATAAAATCACATTTATTTTATGGACATTTCTGTTATTAGCCAATATTGTACGATGCATAGACAACTTTTGCATAATATATCTCCCACTTAAATGCTGCATTCGTTTTGTTAACGATCGAACCGCCACTAGTGATCAGTGTTCAACATTTTTACATTCATGTTTTGGTTCTAGTTTCTTTTTTTGCAAGAAAGCACGAAAATGAAAGAAATGTTGCCTAAGAATAATCAATAGATACCTTTGGCACTCAGCATTTCCCGCACTCACTTAGCTTCAAAAGCTTAGTCCAAGATAATTGATCTGAAGTTAGGTATCCCCGTGATTTACTTATTTCAGTTATTTCATAAATTTTGTTCACGGGTAGACGACTTAACTTATAAAGCATATCGATTCAATCTTCTAAAAAGTGATATGGTTTTTCCCTCATAATTTTGACGAAGTCACATGTCAGAAGCTTTTGTTATCCCGCCTTTGAATGAACACTAGATTTTGTTTTGGTTGAATTTCTAAAATCTGTAGAGTGAAGCGGTAATTTCTCCGACGAAATGGACGACGATTCGTTTCAGCCATTTAACGATTCCGCTGGAAAGTTTAGATAAAGTCAATACATCGCCAGGATCCGAATTTTCTATGGTTTTCTATTGGCACCTCAGGGTTTTTTTCCAATATTTTAAAAAGTCTTTCGACATATTTATCTGGCACCTAATTTAAGCCAATGGATGGGTCCGCTATATCATAATTTGACCTTCGTTTTATTTTACACTAAACATAAAATATTTTATTTCCCGTTGATATTCTAATTTCATGCTTTTTGATTAAAATTTCAATTGAATATCATTCTCAGTTAACTTCATTTCAAAATATCTGTCTAGAAATGGTAACCATTTTAAAAACCTAGCTTGATCTGGTTCTAAATATTTCTCTTGTTTGTTAAATAAGTGTGGTGGTTTCAATCATACTATAACACATTAAGAATAAAATGGAGTGGAATTAAATACAGGACCAATAATGTTGGGTGATTATCGATGTTAAACTAAAAATTAAACTTTTTACTTTTTTTTAAAAAGTATAATGTATACAAAAATAATAACATGCACGTGAAACGTTTTATAGGAAGAAGACTTCTGTTTATTATTAAATACATAAAATCTAAAAGAATATGCTGTTGAAAATCTTAAGCTATTTTGTAATTTTCCTTATGAAACATTATAAAATCGGAAATCATTGGGTAGGACTAACAAAATGTCGGCAAAGATTTGATAAATGTATAAGTCGCACCAGCATTTGCAGTCAACATTCCTTCATAAATGACTGACTCCCACTGGGATTGACTCTCATTTTAATTGGCAAGACAAAGAAAATGATTATATATATCAGTATCCTTGCTTTTCACAAGATACTAACGATCCTAAAAAGCATGCGTACATGATGTCTTTGGTTAATAATGAAGATTTATCGTATATATGCCTATTGAGTTTAGAAATTTACATAATTTTAGTCGCAAAAATATTATTTCATGATATGAATATTAGTTCATCTTTATTTTCAGGCAAATATAACAATTTATCGTTGAAATGCATAATATTTCAGGACATATATAAATATAATGCATTGCAAAAACATATTGACAATTATGAAACACGATTTAAAAGACAAGAACAGCTGTTGATATATTATATACGGTAAACAATAAGAATCCATAGATATGAAGTCTATCATAGATTTGGAAATATCCAATCGACATATTTTAACAAAGTAATTTTGCTAAGATATATGACACAAAAAGCTAACTGAATGTTCTTATAAACTACTGTAAGATCGTGGTATCCTAAGGTAACTTGATGTTAGTTTCATCAGCCGAAGGAACTGCAGAGATTTTCATGATTAATTTATGCGTATTTTATCTCTTGAACGATTTTTATATCTAAAGATAAAGTTTTCTCTTAACCTCATGCACGGATTTCAATCTAACATGCATGTATGGTATAATCTTCAACTTTCTGAAAATTTGTTTTCAATTTCGACTTGTACACAATTTTATATTCTGTCTATCTATCTATCTATCTATCTATCTATCAATCTATCTATCTATCTATCTATCTCAATCTACTTTTTTTCTAAATTTCTGTGGAAAGGCGTTGTTAATATTATGCCTTGATTCATTGGGACTAGTTTTTACGAGATTTCGAAACATATACCCTGTGGCTTTACTCAACTATCAACTGAATTCGACAGCCTTCTCGACAGATTGAACGAAGCATTTTATTCATCCCATGCCGTTATGCCGTTCTTTCTTATACCTGTCACGTTCGGCGATATTTTTTGAGTATTTCCAAAACACATCAATTCTTCCTTAGGATATTGAGCAGCTTAGCTTTTATGTATAAGACGATATATATATATATATATATATATATATATATATATATATATATATATATATATATATATATATATATATATATACTGATTACAAGAATAACAAACAAAACAAGTCAGCATATTTAAACACAAACCTACCTACATACATATATAGATTTATATCGGTTTCGCGTGCATGTGTGTGTAGTTCTTAATGAATGCAGATTGAAATACTTTTCCTATGATATCAAAAAGGCAGTAAAGCTTATACAAAAATCAAGAGAAAAATCTACATGTGATCTTCGTTGTCTTTCATCAGTCGACATAAACATCCCGTTTATAGTGTTGTCATCACAATACACCTTATAAATAACAATTATATCTATTTTCACTCCCATATCAACAATGGGTCCCCAAATTATCAGATACGAATAAAAGTAGCAATGTATTAATATTGCAAAGTTTGCAAATTTAAATGATGTCTGTTTTGTGAGGGATATAACATTTTGTGAGGGATATAACATACAGCGATTAAAAAAAATCTATCATCCTTATTATCTATACTTTATTTTATGTCAGACTATTCATATAAATTTATATTTCGGTGTGAGTTTGCGCAATACTGCACGATTCATATATTTTGGCAAAATTAAATTTTTACAAATATCAGTTTTATTTTAATGTGAATCAATCCATCAATATCTATGTGTGTGTGTGTGTGTGTGTGTGTGCGCGCGGAGGGGAGGTGAGTATGGATATATGTTGACATAAATTTAATAAATCAGTTATTCGTTAATTTTGTTAACTTTTCTACGCTTTTGCATTTAAAATTACTTGAAATGGTTTTTCTTTTTTAGAGATATCCTTTGGTTGAATATGACTGAAAGCCTCAAGAAAAAATTTAAAAACTTAGTTATTTTTAATACGTAGAATAAGTGAAAACGTCACTTCATGTCTTCCATATCTAAGTTGTGTTGGTTACCTGTTTTCATGAAAGATCACAATTCTAGCTCAGGTCAGTCCAACAAGCCACTACATTCATTACTCATAAATACTGCTTAGAACGATATCCATGTACTTTTCGTACATTATCATGTTTATTAAAATGTGCTAATTGTGATGTTTCTGGTCTTGATCGCATTTTCTTAATATTTTGCGTCTTTTCAGTGTGTCTACATTCACAACATAAAATTCTTCATGTATTTTCTTGCCAATTAATTTATGTAATAGGATAAACAGCCCTCGATTTTCTCAATACATGTAGTCGTCGACTTATGACGGCGTTTGGTTCCAACAGAGCCGTCGTAAGACGGTTTGGTCGTAAGACGCACAATGTTAAATTACCGTGCATATGGTATGTCGTGTTATGATACTATAATAATAATAATATTTTATTTAACTCTTCTTATTCTTTCTCACATTCTTTTCATTTACCCTTTTCTGTGGCTCTCTTTCTTCTCTTTCTATCCTCACATTGTTTTCTTTTTCTTTCTCATTGTCTTTATCCGTTTAATATCTACTATCGGAAGGAGATACAACTTTCATAAATTTGGTTAGCTATGTCTGAAACGATTCAGTTGTAAGTTCTGATTCCGAATCAAACAACTCCTCGATAGCTTCTATATCACACTCCAACGAAAGTTCTATTGCCAGTTTCCATATTTTGTCACGTATCACATCGTTCGTTTTCACTTTCAAACCCAGCAAAAAATTTCACGTAACGCAAATCACAATGTTTCCAGACACCGTTCATGCATTTTGCTGTCACATTTTCCCACGCGAAAGCAACATTTTTTATACACTTAAGAATATTATAGTCCTTCCAAAAGTCACGCAGTGATATTTCTGGGTCGGTATCTGTAGCAGTTATTGCTTGGGAGAAGGTGTCTTGCAGATAATTTGCCTTAAATGCAGCAATTGAACCTTGATCCATATGTTGAATAATGGGGTTGTTTGGGAGCTAAAAAAAAACACTTTCACATCGGGATGGAAGTCATTGAAGTACGTGGGATATCCAGGCGCATTATCCTGCTGTAAAATCCTGAAAGGAATTGCTCTCTCTAGACAATACTCACGCACTTGAGTAATAGAACAATTAATTGAGCAGTCTTCGAACAGTCCCTGGGTCACCCATGCTTTATGATTCGAACGATATTAGACTGGCAAAGTATGCTTGCTGACGTTCTTGGATGTTGGTTTTCGTTGTGGTAGATAACGAAAGGTTTAATCTTGAAACCTGCGATGTTCCCACCATGAAGAAGCTTTAGCCTCTCCTTGAATGCTTTAAACCCGGGCATGCTTTTTGCTTCTTTGTGGGTGTAAGTGCGTGCTGGCATCCGTTTCCAAAATAACCCCGTCTCAGCCACATTAAACCTCTGTTCTGCACGATAACACTATTCCTTCATTATTTCATCAAGATCGTTAACAAACTTCCGTGCTCCTTCCTCATCTGCATTCGAACATTATGCAATTTGAACCGTAGCTTGAACCGCTTGAACCACCCAGTACATGCCACAAACTCTTGCATCTATTCATCTCCGGCGCGTCCCTTTAATGTTTGAAATAAAGTTCTTGCTTATGTCTGGGCAGTATAAAGGATCACTGGTATCCGTTTTTGAATTTGGTCTTCGACCCAATCGTGAAGTAATTACTCCACTTCATGGATAAACCCGGTACGTTGCTTCGTAATAATGTTAGAACGCATGGGAGCCGAACCTTTCACGGCTTCACAGATCCTTTCTTTGTCCTTAAGAATCGTCGACACATTTGAATAAGATAAGTTTATCTCGTGTGCGATCACATTAACTTTGTTTCCTCCTTCATACTTTTTAATAACCATCATTTTGGTGTCTAAATCAATTGCCTTTCTTTCTTTCTTGTCAGGTTAGGAGTAGGCAGAGATAGTTTCTTATGGAAGACACCGTGCGGTGTTTTGAAAGAAATTTTAGAAGACACGGATATAACTCGACTGTATTGTAACGGGTTACTACTGCATCTGGGTGGCTTTGCGGAAACTCGGACATAGACAACACACTCGATATATGAGCTGAAATTTATATTGCATATTTAGTATACAACCAATTTTATTGGGAAAACGGTAACTTTCGTATTTACAAATCACAATGTATACACTCACGCGCGTATTCAAACAATTTTGTTAAATTCAACAGGGAAGGTCCGTCTAATTTTATTGCATTTTTCCAATTTTCGAATATGACGTACATAAAATTAAACATTTTGGATAAACTATCCAAAGTTCATGTTTTGTTCTACTTTGGTCAAATACTTTCGGCCGTCTCATTCATTATCAAGAACTGAGTGTTGTCAGCGTGATAGGCAGGATTTCGTTAGTGATATCCTGACATTTTTGCAATGTGGGAACGTCAGGTATAACGGTTAAAGTGAGCTGGATCGCAAAAGGAACATATCAAATTTTTGTACCAATTTTAAATATTTTTACGCATGTTTCAAGGCGTCTTCAGATACATTATTTCCCCACAGAAATGGGGAAATAATGTATCTGAAGAAAAAAATCCTGGCACGGTTCATCATATTTTTTATAACTGCTATTTTATTTATTCAATTTTGGAAGTCCGAAGACACTGTTTATAGTGTGCAGAAGTAAAATTATGACAGCGCCAATTCGTCGAGGAAAGAAATACTATTATTAATATTGAGTTCATAAGTAAAATGTAGAATGAAATTATTCGCAAAGTTTTATGTTACTTTTTTTCTTTCGTGTAGGTTTTCCATTAGTATTAAAATGCCATCTATATATGGAATATATATATATATATATATATATATATATATATATATATATATATATATATATATATATATATATATATATATATGAAAAGCTTGGAGAAATTATACAAAAATTGAATGGATTACGTAGAATGTAGATAAAATAGGGCTGAGAGGTGAAACCATACTTACGCCATATCTGTATAAATCTTACCATAATGACCGTGATAAGGTACTAGCGTTGTACAAGATAAAGGTTTACGTTGAATTGTTATTGTCTTATATATTATTAATATATATGGGCAAAGGGATTATAAACATTTCCTATTTTTCTATGTCTATAGCTCTATAAACCTGACGTACAAAAAATCACAACTTCTGCAGTACCTTAAAATAGAAGCATAGAAAGACACGAGGAAAAAAAATAATGAGAGAGAAAAAGGTAGAGAGGAATTGGAATTGATCCTCGGTTTCATGTCACATTCCCCAGAGGCTCGATCAAATGTAAATTAGAATTTCTTCGCACACATAAAAAATAGAACTAGAAAATACAGCGATCTTAATAATATACTGAGAGGAGTATATTTTTTCATAAGCAGATCATATTAAGTTCACACAAGCACTCTTTTTGTTTACACAGAGATAGTTGTTTTTTCTTTCTTTTAATAAAGATATTTTTCGAGAACTTTCAGCTGGTAGCTTGAATGCAATCTGCACAGGATCGAAAACGTTATGCAAGATGCAGTACAAAACAGATTTTTTAATGTTTCGCAATTTCAAACCCAAATACATAATAAATACAATAGTTGTGATTTTTATGTACTTGCTTCTTTAATTATGTCCGTTTTTATTGCAACAATAAAATTCTATACCGCTAACAAGATCTTTAAATCTGTCTATAGTTACTTTGACATGGACATTGTTGGTCTTTAAGGATGCCGTTATTAGGTTTATCAGAGTGCAGTATTCCGAGAAAAAAAATATTATTGTAATATTTATTAGGTAAGGATGGTAGAATCAGTTGGATAGCACTGAAATTACAAGAAT